TGTGCTTATACTAATTAATGCGTTTTTTACTAAACAATATAGTTTTTAATATTATACGCCTTATTTGCCAGGAAACATATTTATAAAAATATAGAAATACCGTTAATTTCAATCAAATATTAATAGAGGAACGCTAACATGTCAGTAATAAATTTTTCTCTTTGGGTTTATTCTTTCAAAATATTTATATTGCGTGTAGACCATTTATTTAAGTCTCGAGCTGTAGAAACTATATTCATCATGAAAATAACTTTTCAAAGCTATTTCGGATTAGGAGGAAACGTCTAAATTTTTTCTTGTATTTCACGGAAGAACCTAAGTCGTACATTAATCTAGATAGATTTACAAAAAGACTGTTGAGGATTAAGCAGTTATAAAAATAGACGACCTAAAAATGATAACATTACTACCAGCTCAGACAGCACTTTTTGTATCCAACGGAGAGACAATATATTTCAAATTGCATAAAAACAATATCTAATCAATTCTATATAACTATCGATATTTCAGAAAACTCGATAATGCGGTTTCATTCCTACTGTGCATTTTCTTTTAAGTTTAAAATTAGTGCGAGTTCAAATAGACTGCATGTGGCAGAGTTCTCTTTTGGATACGATGAGTAATTTTACCTTACCATAAATATCTTCGTACTTGAACAATTATAAATTGCTCTAACTGGTTTTCTATTAATGTTGAATCATTTACTAATCGATCGAATGAAGTATGTATTAGTTTATATATAGAACAGCATCTCTTCAATACATCTGTGTTCTATGTGGTGATATATTTTGAAATTAAAATAATATTTAATATACATTTTTAAAAATACTGTTATAATAATGAATATTTTAAAATTTATATACAAGATTATTTAAGTGTTTGTAGATACTATATTTTCAGAGTATTCATTTGAAATTAATCTAAAACAAAGGTATAGACATTAAACACAACAGTAGTTCCAAAAATACAGTTTAATATGGACATATCCTTCCGTTTTTCGACGGATGTTCGTCTAAATGGCGTCCTGTTATTTCAAGTTTGGTTCTCTTATTTTGCCATCGCGTTCCTTCAATCTGAAATCCTCACAAGTCCAAAAGACTCAAAACTAAAATTAAAAATGTTCCAAAAATACATCTAGCCCATCTCCACGAATATTTTATCCTATATATACTCCATTCTTGAAAGAAGCACTCATTAAGGCAGTTTGAACAACCTGAGATTATGTTTAATGGTAATAAGTTTCTAATTTTTTTTTATTTGTTTATTAAATATTTTTTTTATTAATATTCTACAGATATTTTCTAGTTTGTTTTAACTATTAGCAAGTTTTTTAAGAATAACAAGACGGATATCGAAAATTTATACTACATTATTAGTAATTATCATAAACAATAAAGGTGATCAATTAGTAATATTTTAACATATGTATTATAATTGAAACGTTTCCTATCCGTCTTGTCAACTGTAATCTCATAAATAATGGATATATTGTGCATGTATATAATATGTATTTGTGCTATTTTCTAAATATGGAAGATGCGTAATAGAACTTCATCTTATATGTTTTGTTGTAAACTCAATAAACGCGCAGCATGGCGTGTTTAGATTTTTGTTATCCCCTTATTGGAGAATAAAATCAGTTCATAGTTATTTGTTTGGAAGAAACAACGTACTTTAACCATTAAAAAAATCTATTTATTTGAGGCAAAATATAAAATTTTAATAACTTTAAGGGCAGTCCCTATTTTCAAATATCTTGTAAATTTAGCTAGAAAATACGATTAGGAAAGGTCTGAAACTCAACTAGTGCTTAAATTTTTTATGAACATCTTCTAAAATTATAATTATGTACCTTTAAAAAATTTCGTTATAGCTGAAATAGCCCCAGCTATGTCCCCACTAGCAAAACCGGTGCGTAAAACTATGCTCGCTACCGTAGTTGGAACTCTGGAATCTAAAAAGTTTTATTAGCTTGAATAATAAATTATAATACAAGTTAGACGTTCTTACTTTTTTATTTTTATTTTTAGAGTTTTCATAAAATTATATTAAAGATAGAAAAATAACAAATTCTTGTGTATTCGCTATTTAAACCCATGTATTTGTTTAGTCTGCTGTTTATGATATTCTCCGATGGTGGCAGCACCGAAGTATATACATTGTATCTATAATCATTCCTTTTTCAATTCTAATCTTTGGATTTAACTGAATGTGTTTAAAATATAAATTCAGTTCAAACGGCCTGAGCGTCATAACTGATGTATGCATCCTGTGACGATTTTATTAATAACTACAAAACAAATTAAGAAATCGGTTTGCGGAGGATCAAATAGTTTTTGAGGAATTTTAACGTCTACTCTAGAGTAGAAAATAGCCATATCTCGATGAAACTTTACCCGCCCAGAATTACTGAGTGGTCTAAGTGTGGCGCCCGTTAAAACAAACAGTTTTCAATTATATGAGGCGTTGAAATATTACCTAATCTTAATGCATGCATTTAGAGAATGAGGTTATTTTTAACTTCTTTGCCTACATGCTCTTTTGCGTGTATAATATGCTAATTCGAATGTAAATGTTTTCTTGTAAGGTGAACTGATAAAAAATAAAAATCAGTTAGTTGTTTGAAACATACGTGCGGTGAGTCAAAGAGGAATGTCTCAAATGGTCAACACGGACGTTCTATTTATTTAAAACAATTGAGTCACCACCTGGACGGAGGTCAATGTCAAACCACCGGCAGTTCTCTTGATTCTTTCAACACAATGAGCGACAAATTCGAAATAATTTTAAATTAAATCAGCACAAAAATCACCCATCTATAGTAAAGTATACTAAAAGTGTTATTCATATTGATATAATTTTAGTTCATTTGAAGGGTTTATTGTAATAACATGATATTATGCCACAAATCCATAATTCTGAATTATTACACTTTGCAGTCTTGAAAAAATATGTAAATTTAATTAATAAATTATAAATTTGAAGACGTTTCAGAGATATTTTAGTTTAACTGGCTAAGTATTTATCTAACAAATTTGTTGGATAAAACTGATTTCTGGTTAAGTGACTTATCATGTTATTACAATAAGCCCTTCATTTGTACTATACAGGCTGAGTCTAAAATACGTACAAACATTTTTAGGAATACGTCTAGGCTTTTTAAAATGCAAAAAAATTATTTTTTTCAATCAAAAAATCTATTAAGATGATTTTTTGGTTTAAAAAAAATCAATCTTAAATTACTGGGTTATTTTGGACTTATTTGAAAAATTTTTTATCGGCGTTAGCTAAGAAATTATTTGGAAAAATCGAAATAAAAATGAACTTCTACACCCTGGATCTCCGAAACGAAGCATTTTAGGTCATAAATTTATACGAACTTTTTTACTTATTTTTATCTGCAGAATATACTGCCGAAGTTTCCCGAATACAATTCGGACCACCCTGTATTTTTCAAGCATCTTTTAATGGACTATATAAAATTATTTTTCTAAAAATAATAAGATTTGTTATACAGTTTGTTATTATTTCTTGGTAATAAATATAGTTTTATATGGTTGGATGTGGAGGAGTATATTGGGTCATTCTAGACTATCTATCGTGGGTTACGTGAAAATAATGCGATATTATGTCACTTCATTTATGTATCTTAAATTCCTTCTTTAATTGGAAACGCTCAAAACGCATTTTTCCTAATACCGTTGTCGTTCTGCAGAACTCAACTAAGGAAAATAATGGGTGTTTACGACATCTTGTGAAAGTTTTTTTTATCATTTAAGCGGTTCAAATGGTTTTTCACAAAAGTCAAAGCGTAAACGACAAAAAATGGACCATAACAGGCATAGAAATAATGTAAATAGGTGAATTACACAATGCCTTTACTATCACTATCAGCATATCTTCTTTCCTATTTTTCCTTAAAAGGTTTTATGAGCGTCAACTTTCAGTTCATGCTTGGCCATTTCTGTGTGTGTATATTTTACCTACTTACTTCAAACATTACTTTTTGGACAGTCCCCTACAAGAAAAATTCTGTACGTCTTTGAGGATAACCATTTAATTCATAATTTTCAATTAAAGTTAAGCCAACAATAACTTATCATTTCATTTAGCTTTATTTTGGTGTAAGCAGGGCAGACGAAACATTCGTCCGTTGGAGACGTACTGTAGGTTTTCTTTATCGAATAATTACATACAAAAACTCGTTCAACAGATTTGGACACACAAAAATATGCCACACGCTTTTTTGGCAGATACCTGTTCAGTTTTGGTTCGAAGTCGCATTTAATAATTATGAAAATTACACATTTTCTTTTACATGCCCCAGAAAAATCTCTAAAGCTTTAAAACAAGTCCTACAATGTTTATTTTTTCTAACAGAATCACTTTTACTAGTTTTCTTGGTGCACCATTCGATAGCTGAGCTTTGAGTTAAATCATTGCGTGCTTTCTTGAGTTTTTTATTACAGTTTTTCTGCAGGATATTATTAACCTAATGAGGTATTTAGTGGTTACAACACATGTTATCATTAAGTCAGTGCAATTCCCTTTTTTCTTAGTAGAATGGGTAGTTGTGAAGACTCCAGCCTTGATTTTTCATCTTTTATAATGCCAGAAGTACTTGAGTTTGACGAAGTGGAATTTATTATTAAATTATAAATTACAGTTTTTATATGTCAGCTATTATTTGCTTGTTATAATATTAATATGCTTGTGTGAACCTTATTTCATTATCAGAATTAAATCAAACAGATCAAATTGTTTTTTTCTAAGTACCTACTTAGTTTTACAGATTTTATTAATTTATTTATATGTTAAAACTGATAAATATTTTAAACCATTAGTTATAGTAAGAACTGAACCATTAACCTCCTCAGTTGATAGGTCATTTTTAAGTGCTACCTTTTGAATTATACAACAAAACTCGATCAGTTCTAATTCGTATGTCATTTCATGATAAGAATTGATCTCTTTATTGATTTTTTTTTGTATTGTTTTAGGTTTTGAAAACTCAGCTCTGAAGAACAGTTTTTCTCTTTCATCTTTGCAACAGCCAACAAGTGAAAATACGCCGGAAAAGGGCGTGAAAACCCGCCAGTTCAACAGTTTAACGAAAAATCGGGTTAAAGCAACAGCCGTTAGAAGATCATGGGGAAGCACAGCGAGCGATCACAGGGAAGAATTTTGGTCCGTCCTGCAGGCCAATTACAACTATATAATGGACAACCAGCTTATAGATAATTGCCAAGTATTGGTCGCCTCTTAATTGTCGATAAAGTCATGATTCTAAACTGTGTTAATGTTTCAGGAAGTTAATGGAGATTTATCTATAAATACAGGAACATGGACGCTGAAAGAATTTTATTCTCAGTTCTCTGAACTCTATTCCTGGTTGAATAGCGTTCAAGAGACGATTTATGGTAAAGAAGAAAATATTACGGATAAAGCTTTGCGAGCAGTAAGATCCAGTTATATTTCTACAAAAATAGTACAAAAATAAGTCAAAATCGAAAATGTAATTTTATAACAAATATGAAATGACTATACAGGGTCCGGCAATAGTGCGTCGGACATCTGTAGCTCCTAAAATGAAAAACCTAGCAATTTTATGTTTAAGTCCAAACCTAAAGTATGTATTACGATGTATTTCAGGAAAATAATTTAACCTCTACAGGGTGGCCCAAAAAAGTATGAGTGGATGATTTAAAATCACCCTTTTTTGAAAAAAATTATTAAACATACAAGAACTGTCCTGAAATTAAAACTATATTAGTTGTTTACATTAGATGGTCTGTACTTACTTTACAGACTGTTCAAAATTCTACGCCAAACTTTCTAAAATACAAAATAATTTTTCTTGGTTTTTTTAAATGGAACACCCTGTATATTATTCTTTTAATAGATGGAAAATTAAAAAATGAACATTTTTTGTATTTAAAGTATTTCAAAGTTTTTAATGGCTTTGTAGATACATGGAGTATTATTTCATATGGCTCTTTCAACGGTAAAATACGAGAGAAAAATTATTGGGTGGCTTTGAGAAAAGTTTACTATGGAAAATGCCATATGAAATATAAAATCCCGAACATCTGTGAAACCATTAAACAGTTTGAAATACTGTAAATGCAAAAAATGTTAATTTTTCAATTATCCATTTACTAAAAAAATAGTATACAGGTTGTTCCATTTAAAAAAAAACGAAGAAAAACTATTTTATATTTTAAAAAGTTTGGCATAGAATTTTGAACACCCTGTATGGTTTAAGATTACGATATTTATAGCAAAGTAAATACAAACCAACTATAGTAAACACCTAGTATAGTTTTGATTTCAGTATATTTCTAGTACTTAAAGAAAAAATATTATAAAAGAATTATATAAAAAAAATATTATGAAGAAATACATCCTAATACATTCTTTAGGTTTGCACTTATTCAAAATTCGTAAGTGTTTTATTACAGAAGCTACAGATACCCGACGCAAAGTTGCAGGATCCATATAAAGTGCGGAAACTTTTTGATAGACACCCTGTGAAGAGTGTCCCTATTCATAATGTGTGAAGAGTATTCCCCTATTCATAAATATACGTAAAAAATAGTTTTTGATTAAAAATATGAGTGTCCTGCAGCTATACTCATAGAGTACTAGTTTTAATTTCATATATCAGAGGTTCTCTTAGCAGCTTATTTTTATTAGGACTGATTATTTAAAAACCTCAGAACTATATATGGCCATTTTTTAGATATTTATTTAGTCATTACATTTAAAAATTTTGTAAAATAGCTTGTGTGGGAACTTATGAAGTAACTTTCTCTCTAAATCTTCTTGACAAATATCTGAAAATTACTGTTGTTTTCAGATCGATATATTATGTCAGATTGAGCAGAATAATAAATGGAAAATGTTTAATACATAATGCGTTCGTAAGAAAGTTATATTAAAATTCTTGAATTCCGATTAAAACTTTATGGGATTGCAAAATGAATGGAAGAATTTATCACTTTATTTCTTGATTTAATAGAAACACATATAACAAAACAACTTATTTTTAAAATATACAGGTTTGTTCACCACATACGACACGGAGTATTGTAGCTAAACGATTAGATTTCTACAAATTGTAAGTTTTGGGTTCGTTGAAGGACTATTAGAGCTACAATTTAAAAATATTTTTACAAGATACAGAGTGTCCCAAATAAAAAGTATCACAGTTGTATTTTTTTAAATGGAACACCCTGTATATTATTACATTTTTAGTTTCTACGATTAAAATAAAGGTAAATTTGATTAAGGTTTATTACACTTAAACCTTACCGTTTATGAAATATTTTCAATTTTGTGAAATTGCAGTATACATTTTAAGGCTTCATTTCTCCGAGAGTATCAAAGTTTTTATTACTAAATATTTACTGAAGTTTATTTATTGATCATATAATAATAAAAATTTTACTACCTTATACAGAGTGTCTAAAAATTTATTTTAAATAAGTACTAGCTTTAAACGGCAATAACTTGTTTAATTTAAATGGAACACCCTGTATATTTTATAAGAATCAGATGCACAATTTAATTGTCTATCAAATTGTATTAGACCACTTTTTAACTATCCCTTCAAGTTTTCATAGAAAATGCATTTTCTTACAATTTAGACCTCATTTATCAATACCCATGGAATATTGACATTTTAGATTTTTTTAAAACAACAAATGTACAAAACGTACAGGCTAGTAATATTATCGTTTTTAGTAAAACGATAATATTACTAGCCCATTTGTATGCAAAAAGAAAACTATTTAAATCTTTATAAGAGTATACCACTAATTAAATATACCACCAGTGTTTCCGCCCAAATACTAATTAATTACATATTTAATTGTGTTCGTTAACAAATTATTCTAAATAAATGTGGATTTGAATGAGAAATCAATGTAATAATAAGTTATGAAAATGAACTTCTCTGTTGTTATAAATAAGCATTTGTCAAAAAATGAAATATCATTTTTAAGGTGTTAGTTTTTTCACCACCACACTGTCTAATGCACATTACATAATTCAGTTTTTTAGTATTTGGAGCAATTATTATTAATCAACGCAAACAGTCAATTAATGTAGTTTGAATACTGGAATCATATTAATTTGTCCTCTTTAACAAATATTTAAACAGTTTTTTTATTTTTTAATGAAATATACGAACTATATCGACAATATTAGTATCCGTACTCTTTAAAAATTTGGTACATCTTTAAAAATAATCTAAAATGTCAGTATTCCATGGGTATATTGATAAATGAGTTCTAAATTACAAGAAAATGCATTTTCTACGGAAACTTGAAGAGATAGGTAAAAAATGGTATAATACAATTTGATACAAAATTAAATTGTGCATCTGATTCTCATAAAATATACAGGCTGTTCCATTTAAATTAAACAAGTTATTGCCGTTTAAAGCTAATAATTATTTAAAATAAATTTTTAGACACTCTGTATGGTAGTAAAATTTTTATTATTACAACACAATAACGATCAATAAATAAACTTCAAATATGTTTAGTATTAAGAACTTTGATACCCTCGGAGAAATGAAGCCTTAAATGCCAAATACTGCAATTTCAGAAAATTGAAAAATATTTCAAAAACGGCTAAGGTTTAAGTGTAATAAACCTTAATCAAATTTACCTTTATTTTAATCGTAGAAACTAAAAATGTAATAATATACAGGGTGTTCCATTTAAAAAAATACAACTGTGATACTTTTTATTTGGGACACTCTGTATCTTGTAAAAATATTTTTAAATTGTAGCTCTAATAGTCCTTCAACGAACCCAAAACTTACAATTTGTAAAAATCTAATCGTTTAGCTACAATATTCCGTGTCGTATGTGGTGAACAACCCTGTATATAATATTTTTTAAATAAATTAAAAAGTGACTGAAGTATATTATGGTATTGACTCTTGTAAGATTATTTTGAATATTTTTTTCAGCGTTGTGTGAACAAGGTCCTCGAAAAAAGCTCGTCCCTTAAATTATTCAACGATCAAGCTAGTCAACTCGTGCAATTGTATCCAGAGGTTCAGGAAGAGGTAGGATGGAGGGCAACTCACCTAAATTCCAAATGGGATTCTATTCTGAGTATTTTGGGTCCGTCAGATTGCGAAATGTGCGACCAAGATACTTGTTTAGGTAAAAATGAAGTTGAATTTCAAAAATAACAAATCTGAACGCATTAAAAAACATTTTTTTCTGGTTGTACTGCAATAAATGTATTTTTTAAATAATCCTTATAAATAATACCACATTTTGAAATTTAAGTAACGTAACAGAATCATGTTTCTTTACATAAATTTAATGCTATTTTACGTGCAGAGATAGTGCTATAGGTTTGTCAGTTGCAAACATTTTTGTTCTTTCAAAGTGTGTCTCAGTTTGAGCTAACATATTAATGGCATCCCCAAAGAGTCTACTCCAGGAGTTTTGTCAAAAGCGAAAGACATTTATTTTGGTAATAAATAATTTGAATTTCAAAAATATCAAATCTGGACCAATTAAAACGTTTTTTCTGGTTGTGATACGACAAATATACTTTTTAAAAATTATATTCCTATTAATAACATCACATTTTCCTTGATAAAAATTTTTAGAGGACAAGAAAAATGTGATACGAGTAAATATAATATTAAAATATAAAAATAAGGACGCTCAATCATTAAAATATCTCCTATAGCGCCATCTATTTTCAACTGACTGAAGCTTGCAATTTAAATACAGAATCATGTTTTTTTACATGATTGATTTACATGATGAGCATTTATCGTTAATAAAAAATAATTATAACGAAGTGTGCAATGAAGATACTTGTTTATGTAAAAAAATAATCTGAAATTGAAAAATATCAAATATGGATGCATTAAATTACGTTTTTTTCTGATTATAATGCGACAAATATATTTTTTAAAAATTATATACTTATAAATATCATGACATTTTCCTTGATAACATTTTTAGAGGACAAGCAAAATGTGATACAAGTAAATATAATATTAAAATATAAAAATAAGGACGCTCAATCATTAAAATATATCCTATAGCGCCATCTATTTACAACTGACTGAAGCTTGAAATTTAAGTAACAGAATCATGTTTTTTTACATAAATTTAATGCTATTTTACGGGTAGAGATGGTGCTATAGTCTTGCCAGTTTCAAAATTTTTGCTCTTTCAAAGCGTGTCTCAATATGAGCATTTATCGTTAATAAAAAATAATTATAACGAAGTGTGCAATGAAGATACTTGTTTATGTAAAAAAATAATCTGAAATTGAAAAATATCAAATATGGATGTATTAAATTGCGTTTTTTTCTGATTATAATGCGACAAATATATTTTTTAAAAATTATATACCTACTTATAAATATCATGACATTTTCCTTGATAAGATTTTTAGAGGACAAGCAAAATGTGATACAAGTAAATATAATATTAAAATATAAAAATAAGGACGGTCAATCATTAAAATATATCCTATAGCGCCATCTATTTACAACTGACTGAAGCTTGAAATTTAAGTAACAGAATCATGTTTTTTTACATAAATTTAATGCTATTTTACGGGTAGAGATGGTGTTATAGTATTGCCAGTTTCAAAATTTTTGCTCTTTCAAGGCGTGTCTCAATATGAGCATTTATCGTTAATAAAAAATAATTATAACGAAGTGTGCAAGGAAGATACTTGTTTAATTGTTTATGTAAAAAAATAATCTGAAATTGAAAAATATCAAATATGGATGCATTAAATTACGTTTTTTTTTATTATAATGCGACAAATATATTTTTTAAAAATTATATACTTATAAATATCATGACATTTTCCTTGATAACATTTTTAGAGGACAAGCAAAATGTGATACAAGTAAATATAATATTAAAATATAAAAATAAGGACGCTCAATCATTAAAATGTATCCTATAGCGCCATCTATTTTCAACTGACTGAAGCTTGAAATTTAAGTACAGAATCATATTTTTTTACATGATTGATTTACATGATGAGCATTTATCGTTAATAAAAAATAATTACAACGAAGTGTGCAATGAAGATACTTGTTTATGTAAAAAAATAATCTGAAATTGAAAAATATCAAATATGGATGCATTAAATTACGTTTTTTTCTGGTTATAATGCGACAAATATATTTTTTTAAAATTATATACTTATAAATATCATGACATTTTCCTTGATAACATTTTTAGAGGACAAGCAAAATGTGATACAAGTAAATATAATATTAAAATATAAAAATAAGGAGGGTCAATCATTAAAATATATCCTATAGCGCCATCTATTTACAACTGACTGAAGCTTGAAATTTAAGTAACAGAATCATGTTTTTTACATAAATTTAATGCTATTTTACGGGTAGAGATGGTGCTATAGTATTGCCAGTTTCAAAATTTTTGTTCTTTCAAAGTGTGTCTCAATACGAGCTAAAATATTCATGGGTTTCTCAAAATAAAAAAAAAAGACCTGGGAGTGAGTCTAACAAAACTAGGAGATAATTTAAAGTTAACAAAAAAGAATTATACAAAAATACCAAATATCGACGCATTAAATAACGTTTTTTTCTGATTATAATGCGACAAATATATTTTTTTTAAATTGTATTCTTAGAAATAACTTACATTTTCCTTGATAAACATTTTAGAGGACAAGAAAAATGTGATACAAGTCAATATAATTTTAAAATATAAAAGTAAGGACGGTCAATCATTAAAATATCTCCTATAGCGCCATCTATTTTCAATTGACTGAAGCTTGTAATTTAAGTAACATAACAAAACCCTGTTTCTTTACATAAATTTAATGCTATTTTACAGGCAGAGATGGTGCTACTTTAGTCTAATGCTTTGCCATGACTGTAGATGGTGCTACTTTTATATTATTTTGTGTAAATTGAGTTGCATATCCAATTTTTCTGACGTAATTATATTAAATTGATTATATTTTTATCATTGGACATTGATAGAGAAATCAGTAACTTAATAAATTATATAAGTATTTTTCTATGCCTTAATATTTATTTTAGACTTTTAGTCGTTTGTTTACCTTAAAAAATTGGAAGGTCACTTTATAAAAACTAGTTTTCAGTTTTTACATGACATCCGAAGCTCATCAAACAATTCAAGCATAAAATATAAGAAAACCATTAAACTAGTTTATTGGAAAAAGTTTTAGGATGCTTTCAAGAAATTCAAAGGCGAATATACATTTGCTTAATGATCAATAATTAATATCTGTTAAAAAATAGAATTTTTATTAGGTTTTCTATCTGTCTTTATTAATGAAAAAAATGGTCGGAAGTTTGGAATTCTCATAATATACGATTTAGTAAAAATTTAGGTCAGACGATTTTAGATTTCCATCAGTAGGCGTTAAGTTAAACTGTAAATATTGAGATTAGGGATACGTGCCGTCATTTAACACTAACATAAAACGATGATGGCATTATGGTGTTCTGCATATGTAATGGAAAATGTTTTTCCTTTCAGATATCGACCACGAACTAAAATGTCTGAGGAGCTGGTTCAAGATAATGGAATCTTGTTTGCAGCCTCTGGATTTCAGAGCCAAATACACTAAGACTGAAATTGAAACAAAAGCCTTAGAATTAAATGTAAGTGCATTGACTTTAAAATACATTTTTCTAAAGCCCTACTGATAATACTTATTTTTGCTGTATACTTATATCAGACTGCTGAATCACATTATCAGAGATAATGATGCAGTCTTTCAGATTTTAGCCCAAAATTATTTAAAGAATTTTTTTAAAAAATATATTTAGAAGGGCCTTTATTATATAGCATTTTAAATAGTTCTATTATTTTTTTTATTAAAATTGATTTGTATTCATTGATTCATAAAATAAATGAGGTCTAAATGAAACATTATTCCTATACTAGTTATGAAACAGTACTGGGCAATTCTAGTTGTCGTTACCATCTCTCAACAACAAATTTAGAATAATGACAAGCAAAAAACGCTCTTTAATAGATTAGATCACAATGCATAATAACATACTTGTTTTAAGTAAAGCCATTAGTTAGATGTGGCATTGATATGAAATTATTTAAGAGCAAAGAGAGTGCATTCGAGGCAGATTTCCGCATTTTTCATAAATATTCTAATTTTTTGGATACAGGGTGTTTCAAAACAAATGCGAAAAACTTCAGGGGGCGATTCCTTGTTCAAAATAAAGGGTAGTTTGCTTTATAAACGTTGGGTCAAAAGTCAACCATTAGGGAGATATCGCGGTACAAAGATGGCGGAAAAATAATGTTTTTATTTTTTATCTTGAAAACGAAAAGAGATAGACTAATGAAATTTTACGGAAGCATTACTGTTATGAAAACACACTTTCTGGTAATTTTTTCACTTTTTTAAAAAATGAAGGGTTGAAATAAACTACCCCTATCAATCTTGTTAATGAAATTTAAAGAAAAATCTTATCAAACACATGCAAAAAAAATTAATTTTGATAGTTTAGTTTATTTAGAAACTTTTTTATCTCTTGTGTTTTTTTGATAAAACTCACCGATTTGAAATTAAAAAATAAAATGTAAAGCATTACATGTCAGGACAAAAAACATTTTTTAGATAAAGAATCTAGTGGGCAGCTGTAATTTTTTTAGAAAAAAATCTAGTCGGCCGCTGTCACTTTTTAGGATGTTTCTATTATTTTATTTGACATTACCCTACTGCAATACGTTATTATCTAGATTATTATTATTATCATTATTATCACTAGATTCTTAATCTAAAAATATTTTTAGTCCTGACTTGTAATGCTTTACATTTTATTTTTTAATTTCAAATCGGTGAGTTTTATAAAAAAAATACAAGAGATAAAAAAAGTTTCTAAGCAAACTAAACTATCCAAATTAATTTTTTTGCATGTGTTTGATAAGATTTTTCTTTAAATTTCGCTAACAAGAATGATAGGGGTAGTTTATTTCAACCCCTTCCACTCATTTTAAAAAAGTGAAAAAATTACCAGAAAGTGTGTTTTCATAACAATAATGCTTCCATAAAATTTCATTAGTCTATCTCTTTTCGTTTTCAAGATAAAAAATAAGAACATTATTTTTCCGCCATCTTTGTACCGCGATATCTCCCTAACGGTTGACTTTTGACCCAACGTTTATGAAGCAAACTACCCTTTATTTTGAACAAGGAATCACCCCCTGAAGTTTTTCGCATTTGTTTTGAAACACCCTGTATATTGCTTGAAATTACGAAATTAGCCATCAATTTTAACTCAAAGTTCAATTGTTTACATTGTGTGCTTTGCATGCGATTAAAAACTTGTTTGTCATGCTTATAATATACTTTCGCAGGTAGGTTTATTAAGAATAAAGGACATTCACCCTTCGGAGCGAACAATCATCTTCCGTAGGGGTAACTTGGCCTTTATGTTTCAAGACTGTGCCCTTCGCATTTTATTATACTGACATCCGTTTCGATTTTGCCGTCTTTTATTGTTACCTAAACTCATCAAAATTGGGGTATCAAAATTAAAAAAAATGAAATAAAGATTTCTGGTGTTAGCAAGTGATGTTTCTCTGGTTGTCAAAGAAATACATACATTTTGTTAACAAATGTAGGTAAATTATTTCAAGCCGGGATACATTTACATTTCAAAGTGATTTTAAATATGGTAATGAGAGGAAGTCAGTCACGCAAAATACTTTTGATTTTTCCTTCTCAACACTGTGAACGTAAGTTTCTTTGTAGGTACGTTTAAAGCTGGATTGAAAGGCAAATGAAGTTTGACAATCCGAGAAAATTTTACTACCAATCTCTGTATTTGTCCACTGAATATAAAACGACTTAACTAATTCAGAATTTACATATAATGGCATCATTACTGAGAGAAAACTCGTTACAAAATTATTCTGGCTAATTAAATTACAAAGACATGCCTCCAGAGTCATCTAGATTAAATTTGAAATTTGTCTGTTGTTTTCGCAACATTAAGCAGGAAGTTAACGTGTTATGTGCACATTTTTATATCGATTTATACAGGTATCCTAACGAGCGAGCGCTTACGTAAAGCAATATCTAAAGCTTAATTCAACAATGAGAAGAAAAAAACGGATAAGCACACTTGTGGGAGCTTTCTTCCTAAATTAGAAATGACGCGTTACGTTTTGCAGGTTTGCAGAGAGGAAGTTGACACACTGGTTAATATTCTAAAGTTTATTCTTGAATAGTTATAATTATGATTCTTAAAAACAGTGGCGTGCTTCAGGTTTTAACATCACATCCCCAGAAAGACACCATGATATGCGAAACAACAGCTGAAGAGGAGTGACTACTTTCAATATTCGCCCTAAACTACTTTCAAGTCTTAGTTTTCTTGGTATTTTTTGGTTGAGCAACCTTTTTTCCATTGGATTTGTAATAGCTTTGGACATAGCTTGATGTTTAAGAAAATCCATACATCCCATTATTTGTAAAAAAAATTGTATTTGACAACTAATACATTTTTTTATGTATATATAAATTCGGGTCAGAACGTCCTACGACGTTGTACGATGCCTAACTTCCACCCTGTGCGATTTTCCCATCGATCTTCGGTCAGATTTTTCTCGCTCATCGACCTTCTTATTCCTTCCATCCATGTTTTCTTGGGACGTCCTCTCTTTCGTTTACCAGGTGGTATCCAATGAATGACTTGTTTTGGAATTCTTTCATTGTGCATTCTCTGAACGTGGCCGTACCATATTAATTGTTTTTGTTCTATATCATTTACTATTGTTCCCTCTATTCCCATCTGTTGTCTAATGTCTTCATTTCTGATCTTATCCCTCCGTGAAATTCTCATTGCTCTTCTAATCGCGTCCATTTCTGTTGTCTCTAATTTCTTTTTATTCCTTTCAGTGAGTCGCCATGTTTCACATCCATAGAGTAATATGCTATTAACTAGTGTCTCGTATATATTATATTTCCTGTTTTTTGTAATTTCAGTACTCCATAGAATGCCATTTATGCATCTGATAACTCTTCGTGCCTCTATTACTCTGTTGTTTATTTCTCTATCGTCCGTTCCATCTCCTGTAAATATCGATCCCAGGTACCTGTAATCTTCACATGCCCTAATTTCCGTATTATTGTCCAAAATAAGATTTTCTGTATTGGATCCAATTGGAAGGTGTTTTGTTTTTTCTGTATTTACTGTGAGACCCCATTTAGCGTATTCTTCAATTATTTTCTGCACCATATATTCCATGTCATCTTTGTCGTTTGCAATTATGGCCTGGTCGTCTGCAAATTGCAAGGTGTATAGGCATATGTCATTTAGTTCTATACCCATTCCGTTACATTTTCTTTTCCATAGATATAAGGCCTTGGTAATATAAATTTTAAATAGTGTTGGGGATATACAGCAACACTGTCGGAGCCCTTTAGTGATAGAAATTTCCTCTGAGAGACCGTTGACCGTTTTTATTTGTGATTTTCCTCCATGGTAAAGATTTTGTACAGCTTTTATCAGAGCTGCGTTAATTCTTGGTTCGTGCAATACTTCCCATAATTTTATTATTGGTACTGTATCATATGCTTTTTGTAGATCGATGAATGTTATATGAACTTCCTGGTTCATTGCAGATTTCTTCTCGATGATCTGTTTCAACGCAAAGATATTATCTGTACATGATCTTCCGCTTCTGAAACCATTCTGCTCTTCTTCTTCGTAGCTGGAGTATTCCTCTTCAATTAAGTTCCTCAGTATCCTTCCATAGAGGCGACTCATAGTACTGGTGACCGAAATTCCCCTGTAGTTATTGGGATCCTTCCTTGAGCTCTTTTTATATATAGAGGAGATATATGCTTTTTTCCACTGTTCTGATACTGGATGACCATTTAAGCACTGGTTAACTATGTCTGTTAACATTCTAAACAGTTTTTTGCTTCCAGATTTTATGAGTTCCGCATATACTCCCTCTGGGCCACATGCTCTTCCATTCTTTAAAGACATTATAGATGTCTTTATTTTGTTGGTATCCACGTAGATTTCCTCTCCTTCAATGTTTATTTCTGGCTGTGGCGGTTCTTGATACTCAGGTCTGTTCTCTGACAACAATTTGGAATAATATTTCACCCATTCTTTGTTGGTTATTATTTTTATAGGGGCTGACTCCTGTTCTGTTGTTGTTGTTTTTATAAATCTCCATACTTCCGTATTCCTTCTTCCGCCTATATACGTATTAATTTCTTTGCATTTGTCATCCCACACTTTATTCTTTTCTTCTTTTACCATTCTCCTCACCTCATTTTTCTTGTCATTATAAGTGCGCTTGTCTAGTTCAGATTTCGAATTTAGCCATTTCAAATACAGTATCTTTTTTTCCTCTACAAGTTTTTCAAGTTCATCAGTCCACCACAACTTTCTGCTCTTTCGTCTCGCTTTTATTCCTAATGCTTCCTCTGCGGCTCCATGAATACTGTCAATTATATTATTGTATGTTAGGTGAAAAGGCCTTTCCGAATCTTCTATAAGTTTTTCAAGCCTGTTCTGGTAAAGATATTTGACGCTGTCATGCATTAGACTTTCTAAATTATATCTTACTGTGGTAACTGGCTTCGTTCTTCCTGTTTCCTTTTGATTGTTTTGTT